TCAGTAATTATGTCCTGACTGGATGCATCAAATGCCTGGTTTATAATGGGTTTTAATGTTTTTGTCTCGTCGCTCCGGCCGGACAGGGCATCACAGTATGTGAGGGGCGTAACATTTCCGTCACACGCTTGAGGTATTCGGCCAATCACAACGCACTGGATAGCTGGCCAATCAGAGCACACCTCGCTTTTCAGACCGATGAGCTTTGTAAAAATCGACGTGTTTCAGAAAGGCGGGGCATAGAGGAGAAACAATAATGTACAGTATGTGGAAAATAATGTGTTTTTTTAACCTTAAACCGCATAAACACATTTCATTTACACCAAATACACAAAATAATGTTCTTTTTAGCAACATCATATGACCCCTTTAATATCTTCATGTTGTATTTAGCAGTTAGAAAGCTCAGTAAAAAACTAACAAATAAATAATATATTTCAAAATATATTTAAATAATTATTTTTAAATGTAAAAAAATATTTAAAAATACAAATGTATAAATAAAAATGAAAAATAAATATATTTGTTTTTAAAGTGTGATTAATGTTGTGTATTAAGTCAAATATATCCAATTTTATATAAAGAGCTGGACAATAATATATAGATTTGATTTTGATTATTTGTTTTTTTTTATTAAATATTATAAAATTTAAATAAACATTACATTTATTTATTAAATAGAAAAATATTGGTTTGGTTATTTAATTCATAAGCAGGGTTATTACAGTTAACTAAAACTGAAACAAAATGTTAAAAAAAAAAACATTAAAAAATTTAATATGAATTGAAAAAACTAATAAATGCTAAATGAAAAAATTTAATATTTAATAAAATAAAAATACTTATTTCAGCTAGTTACCAAGGAAACATTTCTCATTTTAATTTAGTTTAACCTGATGTACTAGAATAACTAAAACTGAAATAAAAATTTATTAAAAACTATATATAGTTTTTATACATTTTTATTTCAGTTTTAGTTATTTTAGTATATATATAAACAAAAGAACTAAAAATACCCAAAACACACAAAAAATTACAAAAAATGTTACTGAAATTAAAATGTAGAAATAAAAACATTTAAAATATTAATAAAAAAATAATAAAAAATATAATAGTATCTCAATAACAGTTCTTTAAGGGAAATTAAATACATTAATTTTATGATTAAAACATGACAGAAACATAATACTGCAATATTATATTCATAATTAGATTAAAAATTATCTAGAAATATCAGTAGTTATAAACCAAACTGTCCAAACGTACGCTCATGGATTAAAGTCATTAAATTTCCTCAAAGCTGAATAAATGTGTTTTGCGTCTGCACTCAAGGAGTTAATGCATGCTAATCTGAACATTGTTTATTTCTGTCTTTTCATATTACAAAACACCGATCATTTACTGTGAGACATGAAAGGGAGCAGCAGCAGCCCCCCGCTGATACCGTGCAGGCTCTGACCATTAAACCCTGTTTATGGATCACAAAACAAACAATAACAAACAAAAGAAATCGCGTGTAATTAGCAGAGGTGGCAATTTCAAACAGATGTGGGCTCTGGCTGAAGCCCAGTCGTGGTTGCATACAGAGAGCGCTTGACGGCGAACTCTCCAAAACTCGCTCTCGGCCAATCAGGACGGAGCACGTGTCCCCAGCGGCCCCGGGGGTCAAAGGTCACCGGCGCTAAAGCAGATCAGAGGGGCCGAGGGCCTGGAGCCCGGACACCATCATAAATCCAGCGGCTCAGAGGAAGCCATTCTTCACCAACAATCTCACGCGTCTCAAGCTCTATTCTATCTTCTACATTACACTGACATTTTATTTTCTGTGTTTATGCATATAAGCTCTGATTAATACCAATAGTCCTCTAAATTATGTTTTCACGACCTGCGGATTAAGTTGTTGTAAAATGCACATAAACAATTTTTTTTTTTTTTATATATATATTTTAAATACATTTTAAATATATGTTGTAAGTAGTGTAGCTCAATGAAATATATTTCCGAAATGTAACAAAAAAATTATTTTGTTCACAAAAAAGTGTATTTCAGGGGCAAGAAAACACATTTCCAATCTTACAATATTCTACATTTAGGCTAATGCAATTTGTAATGACTTCATAATGCTTAATTTTTTATTTATATATTGTAATAATGTACTTTTTTTAAACATTGTAAAAGTTTGTTCCTCGCTTATATTTATTCATATGTGTGTTATATGATCACACGTGTTATAGACAACAAGTAACGTTTTCTTCAAATGCGAATGTATTTTCTTGGATTCAAATATATGGCAATGTAGACTTTATATGTACTTAATATATGCTTTTAAAAATATATTTATATAATTTTTAATATTTATATAAAACTATATTGATAGAAAATATATTTATGCAAATATATTTTGAAATACATTAGCAAATATATGTTATTACATTTCATTTATATATAAATATATATAATTAGTTTGCATTCACATCAACTAAAGTTGAGTTTAAGTTGATAAAACTTTATCATTTATGCAATTTATCATGTTGAATTATATCATAAATCAGTCAAATGAACTTGAGATATAAATGCAGCTTTTAAAGATGATAAAAAAGTCCCCAGGTGAGTCTGTAATATGCTGCAGTGGCCCAGTTTACTACGGTAAACCTACTTACAGTGGGACAACATTAGTGCACATAGGAAATAATGCAAGAATGCAACAAGTCTGAGTCATAAACACATAAGAGCATGTGAACTATCAGCATAACACGCCCCCTAGTGGAGGCCCAAACCAATGTGCAAATTGATTGTTTGTGCAAATTCACATTGAAACATAGATGCTTAAGTAAAAATTTCAGATGCATTTAGAATGTTTTTAATTGCTAACTTTAACTGATGACTGACTGGAAAACTCAGCCTCTTTGCATTTGTCAAGTCTTTTCCTCTGCATTTGGTTTGCCAGCCAAGTTGCTTTGGATAAGAGCATCTGTTAAATGCATACATGGAAATGTTAAACAAAATTGCACTTGGTAAAAATGCATCATGTATAAAATATTCTATTAATAACTGACATTTAATATCAGTTTAAAATGCATTTTCGTAACCTGACAGTGTCACTAAATAAACAGGCATATAAACGCAGGCCTCAGGTGTACTTCAGCGGCGATTTAAATAATCCAGACCCACAGTAAACAGCAGAAGCATAAAGCTGTCTGCATGTGTGAGGAAGAGACGCTTTATTTAGTGAGTTCACTGTAAAATCAAGGTCAAAGCGTTACGCTTCAACGACGAGAAGAACAGACAAAACCAGAGTCTGGTTTAAGAAAGGACAGGAAGTGGAGAAAAGAGGAACAATGACAAATCCACACTTTCACTGGAGTCTGAAATCATGAATTAGAAATCAGATATCTTTTCCAGTGACACATCACAAAGCAAAAGTTTCAGGGTGTCATTTTGTCAAATTGATTTCATTTTTGATTTTTCGACATAAAACAGAAAAAAATAAAATTGTATATATATATATATATGTCCATGTATTTTTTTCTCTTTTTAGAATAACATGCACAAATTAATCTTTCACGATAAGTCCAGATGAGTGTTTAATAGACTTTATTGTATAAGTGTATAAAACTGTACCACGTCATAAATGATCCTGATGCAACAAATGTCCTTGTCTTTGACTATTTGTGCTTGTGCCTTTGCTAAATTCATTACCTCAAAATTCATTTTTAATGATCAATCTGGTTTAGCAAATGAAATAATGCATTTATGTCCACTTGTTATGATTTAGCACAAAATAGCATACTACTCATGCTATTTCTTTAATATATGCTATTCCAAATAAAGCCAAGTTTTGTTTTTTTTCGAACTAGATTCTTCGAAGCATGACCTCTGACGCCGCTGGCTTCTGACCCTGTCAGACATTCCTTGTCTTAGATTTACAGGCCTAATTCTTACATCTACGAGGGAAGAACAGACTAACTGCAGATCTAGTGCAATGCAATACTGGTTTAGTTCAATTCTGAGAGTAAAAGGTAAAGAGAATAACCGTGTATTTTTAGATCTTTGTGTTCCTGTAGCTCAAACAGTAACGCAAGGTCATGGGTTCGATTCCCACTTTGGATAAAAGCATCTGCAAAATGCATAAATGCAAATGTAAAAGCATCACTTGCACACTATATTTTGAATCATATGATGCTTTGTGTCTTTAACGCTTGTTTGCATTCTCCTGTATTGACAGGAAAACCAATGCATTGACATCAGGCCTGGTGCAGTTCATCTAAACGTGCATTTTTGATGAAATACAAGAGAAGATAAAAACCTCGTGGGAACATTGTTTTGAAATGTTTCTAAAACACTAACATGTCCAAGTTATTTAAAGGTTACAAAACGTTCCTTACAACATTCTGCTAACTTTATATTCACTGAAAATGTAACGCTGTTTGAACATTTATTTTTGAACATTCTAAAAACATTTTCTCTCATTGTGGGAACGTTCATCAGGCATGTTATAAGAACGTTTTCTCTCAACGTTATGAGAACGTATATATCAAATATGAATAAAGTTGTAAGAACGTTACATAAACATCACTTTAAAAATGTTTTGGCATAACATTTACATAAACGTATAACCTGAATGCACTGTAAGTAATAAATATAAAAGCGTCTGCTTATTGGATTATTGGATAAAAGCGTCTGCTAAATGCATAAAATATTAATTATTATAAATTCCAATAGTTGTTCCAATACAATTTTGAAAAATGCATACTGTGTCAGACCGCAGTAATAACGTTTCTGGCCTGATTATTGTGCTGCGAAAGTCTGCTTGTGTTGAGATAATGACATTGGGCTGATTGGAGTCGGTCTTTCTCCAGCACTGCATTAAATGTCATAGAATGCTCAATTACATCTTCATAATCAGAATGGATGACAGAACGGAATCCCTGAACACGAGACACCGAATGTCAGACTGACAGGCCTCACATGGGCCGAGGGAGCCGAGGCGCGCATACATATTAATCAGGCCGATTAGACGTGTTAAACGCAGGCCAGTATGGAGAGGTGGGTCTCTCGGACCTCCAGGTCTGCATCTCATCACCGCGAGCCCCCTCGGCGCGGCCCGTTCCATCCGCGCGCGTGCGCTCTCGGTGACCCGTTCGGCTGCCGCGGTCCGCGCTTCCCTGCATGCACCGGGACCGGTGGACTCCCACGAGCCCGCGCTCGCTCCCTGCCATCTGCCGTGATTTATAGAAAACGGCCGATGATTTATGGTCCAGTCATCGCACAATGAAGTCGTCCTCTTTCATTCGCTCGACCTCCCCGACCCAGCCGCCACTCCCAGCCAGGTTTGGGAAATATGCTCTAATCATGCACTAAAAAGATGTTTAAACAGTGAGGTCTGGCGGAGGGAATTGAGTCCTTTAATAGAATTAATTTTCTCCGGCTGGGTGAATGTTGATGAGGAAAAAGCGCAGTGGAGATGAGACGCGGCCACCGCGGAGAGAAGCGGCCGCTAATGAGCGCCCGCCGCCGGGTTTAATCCTTGCCGGGACTCGCGTCTCCGAATAAACAATTACATGTGTACCGCACGGGGAACCTCAAACAAGGATTTAGGACGCAGCCTGGAAAGATGAAATCTCAAATGAGCATTAAAGCAATCATTCACCTTCCCTCCTCATCGTTATTTCTGTATGCTCTCTGAACTTTAAAGGGGTCATATGATGCTAAAAAGAACCTTATGTTGTGTATTTGGTGTACTGCAATATGTTTATGCGGTTTAAGGTTCAAAAAACACATTATTTTCCACATACTGTAGATTATTGTTTCTCCTCCATGCCCAGCCTTTCTGAAGCTTGAGCTTGTGGAAGTGATACTTCTGAGGCAATATATGTTAAAGACAGCATGTTTCTAGGAAGCATTGATATTCCTAAACAAAGCTGTACTAATAAATATATTAGGAATATTATAACAGGTGATACAGCTACTTATAAAAGCTTATTGTGGGCCAATGTGTTTAGAAATATAAATTGGAATAAAGCTTGGCATATTTGTGAAATATACTGTTTAAATAATAAAGTAAAAGAGGTTACATTTAAAATTTTACAAGGTATGTATCCAGCTAAAAGTGTGTTAGAGAGATTTAATTTGGATATTGATTATTCCTGTGATTTTTGAAGGAGTCTATAGTATTGTCCATCTGTTTTGTAATTGTGTTTACACAAGGATTTTCTGGGTGGATATGGAAAATTTCATTAGAAGGAAAACAAATATTATATTCAAGTTAAATAATTTTGATATATGTATGTATTATTCCAGTGAAAGTAATAATAATAATTTTACTTTATTTGTACAGCTTTTTATTATTTTGGGAAAATTTCACATACATAAGAAGAAATGGTCAGGATCCAAGCCAAATTTCATTTTCAATTTTCATTTTCTTCAAGAGACTAAGGACTACTGCAGCAGTTTGGAGAACATTGTTAATAAAAAAGCAAAGAAAGAACAATCTTAATGCAAAAGGAAACAAGATTATTTTTCTTACCCCAGATCATTTGCAAAACAAGAAAAATACACTTAAATTCGTTTTTTTTTTTTGATGAATGAATGTTAATTTAACAACTTACCGTTCTGCCAGTTTTCACCTCTGATAGTATAACAGTGATTAAGAATTAAAGTTAAGTATTGACTCGGAAGTATGCAGACATCTTTTTGTGGGGTGCTGTTGCCATGGTGAATCATAATTTCAGAGCTCCATTGATCATGGCTTTTCATAGTCTTGTTGCACGCATTAAACCAAAGACTATAGTATACACAAGACGTGTCACTCGTATAGTTTTGAATGGGGGGAAATGCAACACTCAATATGGCAGCTCTATTGAAGAAAGCTCCGCCTTCTGAGTAAATGAGCCAATAGCTAATCGGTAAAGTCCTGGTCACTGAAGTCCGGTTGCTATAGAAACAGTCAGTTCTGAGAAGTGCGCTTAGGACTGTGCATGCGCACTGGCTGGTCTAGCTTGAAAAATAAGCTTTTCTTAACGCTATTTCAGCAAAAGAAACCACATGTATGAGACAGTTGTTGTCAGATTTCATTGGTGATTTTAAATATGAAATTTAATCTTAAGCTTGACATGACTTGCCTTAAAGGGACTTTGACTAAACTCAGTCAACCTACTCCGAGTGGATTGAACTATCTCAATTCAGCTGAACCCGAAAACTCACCCATCTCAGGGTAAGTCAACTCAGAGTTGGTTGAACCTCCTTCTTGAAACGGGCCCCAGATGTTCACTCATGTTTATTTCATGCTATAACTAGTAAAGTTCACGTGCCGCTTGAACTGAGGCACTACAGCGATCCGTCTCGACACATTAAAGAGCCACAAAATGGTTGTTTGTATTTCTTAAAAAATGACAACATTTGAAAGCTGAGACTTGCATCACAGTTTTTGCAATATGCAATGAGTCAGACACTGTGTGCCACAATGATTTCTTGTTTGACTCATAGAAAAGCTAAGACCGTTTCATCTACAAATTTAGATTACAAACCTATTTTTAAGATAATTGCACGCCACTTGGTGAATTAAAATGTATGCGCGACCTGATGACGTCATGTGACGCCAACGAAATTAATTTATTTGTTTTGCATTGAAAATATGAACACATTTTTCAACACCTTGCCTAGATTTGATGTCTTTATTGCTGAAACTTCCTACACTGTAAAATCTCTTAAACCCATAAATAATAGAAAGGATAACAAATTTTGATCTTACCTTTCTTTCAGAGGTCTCCTTTGTTTACCTCTTTGTACTTTTTCTTCTTATCTTTTATGCTTTATGTATTTCAAATGCAGTGCTGATTCTTCTTTGCAATTAAAAAAAGATAGTTTGAAATATGTAAAACGACATGGCTACAGCTGCTTCACATACTTAAACATAGTAAACAGTATGCAGTATACAGGGTTCCCACGTTCATGTAAAACTATAACTCATGGAAAAAATAATGGAAATGAAAAAATTAGAAACAGAATATTATATGGAGTAAAAATGTGTACACTGTAAAAAAAAAAAGTTTTGCAAGAAAATGCTATTTCTTTCTATAAAACACTGTATTTCTACTTCAAAATCTCACATTTAATGAAATGTCACTTGCCATTTCTTTGTAATTATTTGTGAATTTTCACTAGCAGTGAAATTATTTAACAGTAAATATTTTTTTCAGTGGAATTACATAAAACTCTGTCTCTCGAAATCCCTATAAATGATTTTAAAAACCTCATCGGTTAAACCCAAATGAAAAGTCATGCACGCTCAGTATGCAGTGTGCAGTGTGCAGTATGCTAGTCTTCCTTCAAGAGCTTCAGCTTTGTTTTATCGCCACCTGCTGGTGGGACACAGAAGTGAGAGTATCTTAAAAAGTTAATAAATCTCCATATATAAGTTGTACCAAAAGTTAATAATGGATTTAATGTCACCTCTTATAAAACAATAAATCCATTAAAAGTACATATCAAAATAGAAAAGCAGCAAAGGACAGAATGACGGTGCAGTAACGACTACAAAGACTGAAACTTGTGAAAGTCCAGCGAGTCTTCAGACATCAGATTGACAGATGAAAGAGCATCTCATTACTGACACCCGTGACCTTCAGCCGGACGGACAGAGAGAAGCAGAGCCACAGAGAGACTTTCTGAGAGTCTCACAAAGCCTTTTAACACATTCAGGTCATATTCAACCGGAAAAATGTTACTTCTGTTTCAGGACCAGATTTTTTGGCATTGTGACATTATTTTCATGACAATCAAACATATTTCAGATCCAATTCTCAAATTGAGCTTTGTGCAACACCCAAAGGCATTGATCATTTAACATACTTAAGATCAAATTCTCCATTTCAAATTTGCAAAAAATGCAAAAGTAAATTATTCAAGGATATTGATATGTTAACATATTCAAGATATGTGAATCGATTGCATGCATGCAGAGTCCAGAAATCTCCTAAATAAGAGACGTCTAAAATATACCCTCTTTTTTATTCTAAATGAATCGTTACTAGAAGGATTGTAAATGATTCAACTCCACAAAAACACCTTTTTTTTTGTGTGGAATGTTCTTTGGGATTTCTACCAAGAGTGAACCAAATTTATCCAGTTAACTAATGATTTACTCACTGATCTGAGCTGCTCTTATCAAACTGAATGAAAGATTCAAGCAGGTCTGGATGTAGTGCACTATAAAGTATTTCCTTATATTCGATTCTCTTAGCTTCACATATAATGAAGTGAACAGTAGTGACGCTTGTGTAGTGAAAGACACCGAATCAGTTCTTCAGCTCTGTGTGAATCGATTGCATGCATGCAGAGTCCAGAAATCTCCTAAATAAGAGACGTCTAAAATATACCCTCTTTTTTATTCTAAATGAATCATTACTAGAGGGATTGTAAATGATTCAACTCCACAAAAACACCTTTTTTTGTGTGGAATGCTCTTTGGGATTTCTACCAAGAGTGAATAATGTGACTCTCTCTTCATTAACTGGTGTAAGGCCTTTAAAAGGAAAAACGAATGAAGTCTGAAGTTAAACGTCCAGCAAAAGCACAGAGTGATTCATTTAAGCACCAAGATTTAAAAACTGGGTACAAAAAGACTAACTGAGCACTTTAAACGGCACAAACCTCAACAACTGGGTTAAAACAGCAATTTGACTAGTAAAAATCCAAATTGTCTGGATGTAGTGCACTATAAAGTATTTCCTTATATTCGATTCTCTTAGCTTCACATATAATGAAGTGAACAGTAGTGACGCTTGTGTAGTGAAAGACACCGAATCAGTTCTTCAGCTCTGTGTGAATCGATTGCATGCATGCAGAGTCCAGAAATCTCCTAAATAAGAGACGTCTAAAATATACCCTCTTTTTTACTAAATGAATCGTTATACTAGAGGGATTGTAAATGATTCAACTCCACAAAAACACCTTTTTTTGTGTGGAATGCTCTTTGGGATTTCTACCAAGAGTGAATAATGTGACTCTCTCTTCATTAACTGGTGTAAGGCCTTTAAAAGGAAAAACGAATGAAGTCTGAAGTTAAACGTCCAGCAAAAGCACAGAGTGATTCATTTAAGCACCAAGATTTAAAAACTGGGTACAAAAAGACTAACTGAGCACTTTAAACGGCACAAACCTCAACAACTGGGTTAAAACAGCAATTTGACTAGTAAAAATCCAAATTTGGATTCTTTTTAGTTACAATTATCGCTCTAAAAAGTTTAGAATTGATTGATACATTGATTGATATCCTAAATTGAGTGTGTTTGTAAGTGAATCTTTAATTTAATGATTCAGTTTTGTTTTGGATCATTTCTAAATGAACACTGACGACGATTCTAATACTTTCTCACTGGATTATTTATATCTCAAGATTATCAAATTATATATTTTGAATACAAAAAGCATCAATATGGTCCTTAAATCACAAAAGGAGACACATTTATCATAAATCTCCATGTTAGTGTGGAGCTGGAATGCGAGATTTGGATTTCGAACTAAATATGCGCTAAAATTCATTGTTCTTACCATCAAAGCCTTTTTTTTTTGTTTAAGTTGAATTACTAAAATAACTCAAACTTAATAAAAACAATACAGACATTTTAAAAAACCACAACAAAAATACTAAAATCAAAATAAAAACAGAAAATATAAAAATAAAATCCATTCAAAACATTCACAAAACTTTTATAGTATATTAATAATACTAAAATAACACTGGAACATTATGCTGCATTCTAAGAGATCTCATTTTTAGGTTAAAAAAAGGCAACATCACATATACACTACCATTAAAAGTTTAAAGTCAGTAAGTTGCTTATATTTTGAAAGAAATTAATGCTTTTATTCATCAAGGACGCATTAAATTGGTCAAAAGACATTAATAATGTTACAAAAGATTTCTATTTTTAAATAAATGCTGTTATTTTGAACTTTCTATTAATCTGTGAATCCGGAAAATATTAAATGTATCACGGTTTCCACAAAAATATTGGGCAGTTTTCAACATTGATAAATAATAATCAGAAACGTTTCTTGAGCAGTGAATCAGCATATTATAATGATTTCTAAAGAATCATGTGACACTGAAGACTAATGATGTAATGATGCTGAAAATGTAGCGCTGCATCACAGAAATATATTATATTCTAACAGATATTCACATAGAAAACACATTTTCTTAATTCTAATAATATTTCACAAATTTTATTGTATTTTTGATCAAATAAATGCTGGCTTGCTAAGCAGAAGAGACTTCTTTCAGAAATATTTAAAAAATCTGAATTATTCCAAACTTTGGAATAGTAGTGTATCTTTTGCAGTGAAGGGAATCCCAGAATGCACTGCAACAAGCTATCACTCAAAGTTCACTGAAGTAATGGACAGAATGTTCATTATAAATAGACTAAAAATATTTAAATCTATTAAAATTGATGTGTTGTTAGGAGCATCAAACCTTACATCTATCTATCTATCTATCAATATATATATGGGTAATATCTGACCTTGCTGCCAGTCAGCAGCTGTAGATGAGGCTTCAGATCTTCACCGATGACAGAATAAATAGCCACCAAACAAAACACACTGGCCTTGCGTACGCTGCTCTCTGTGTTATCATAACCCTGAAACACACACAAGTCAAGTCACCTTTATTTCTATAGAGCTTCATACAATACAGCTGACAGGTGTGTGTGTGTGTGTGAGAGAGAGTGTGTGAGTGATTGTGTGTGAGAGTGTGTGTGTGTAAGTGTGTGTGTGTGTGAGTGAGTGAGTGAGTGTGCGAGCGAGCGTGAGAGTGTGAGTGAGTGAGTGAGTGAGTGTGTGTGTGTAAGTGTGTGTGTGTGTATGTGTGTGTGTGTGTGTGTGTGTGTGTGTGTGTGTGTGAGTGAGTGAGTGAGAGTGAGTGAGTGTGTGTGTGTGAGTGAGTGTGTGTGCGAGCGAGCAAGTGAGCGTGTGTGCATGCGTGTGTGATTGTGCGTGTGTGTGTGTGCGCGCGAGAGTGTGTGTGTGTGAGTGTGTGTACCTGTAAGAGTCCCGGGATGATGTCGGGCAGGAGCTGAATCAGGGAATCCTGGGGAATGCGCTCGATTACTTTGGTCTGCATTTTAATAGCGGCGAGGTTGATGGGATAGTCGGCCGTCTGGATGATGGGACACAGGACTTTGATGCACTGCTCCGAGTGGATGGATCCGGCCAGCGTGGACGCCGTTTCTTCTGCGGCCCGCACCACCTGTGGAGACACGAGACACGACCGTCAGACAAACAGCACAGAAGAGACGCTACTTCCTCTGCACGCAATAAAATTATGGATTTTAGAGCAGCGCTTCTCAACTATTTTGACTTGAAGGTCCCGCACTGTCCACAGCAATATTTCAAGGACCCCATGTAGACTTGTTTCCATAAATACAAATTTTTGTTTCCAAATCTTTTATTTATAGAAAATATCAGGGTTATTATAGTTAACAAAAAATAAAATCACAAAAAAAATGTTTGAAATAAAAATGATTGTAATTATACAGACATATTAAAAAAAACTAATAAAAAAATGACAAAACACACAACAAAATGACTAAAACTTTCAAATTAAAATAATTAAAAAAATAAAACATTATTCAAACTGGTATTCAAAACTAGTCAGTGATACTAAAATAACACTGCCATTTATTAACATTAGTAAAATAATTAAAATGAAAACAATTAAATTTCAGGTAAGAGCAGAATAATCTTCAGGTGTCCCATTCTTTTTATCCAGTGAACTATTATAGATTTTGTCAATAGTTTGAATCATTTCATTTTAATTTGAATAATTTTTTTTTTATTTAATTTAATTTTAATTAACGTTTTAGTCATTTTATTGTGTATATATATATATATAATGTGTGTGTGTGTGTGTGTGTGTGTGTGTGCTCATGGACTGATATACTATTGATATATTATTATAGGTTTGTTCATTTTTGAATTAGGTTTTATTTTTTAGTTACATTTTAAGTAATTTTAATTGTGTTTTTGTCATTCTTACTCATATTTGCTCTTTTCAAATGTAGTTTTTAGTTTTAGTTTATTTAGTATTTAAACTTACAAAAACGAGAAATTAAATGACTTGGCAGTTAGCTGAAATAAAAAATATATATATATTAATTTTATTTCTGTTTAGTCTGTTAACTATAATAGGCTTCCTCATATTTCATATATCCTGGTTCAAAACACAGGGCTGGGTTTAGACACAAATTTCACGATTCGATTCTCATTCACAAGCTTGCGATTCGATTCAATATTGATTATTTTGGATATATATCAGGTACAGTACATGCCAAATTTTCTCAAGGAAAAAAAATCTCTCAACTAATGCTGTAAAATATACATGAGAGCCAGTTGGTACTGCATTACTATAATACTGAAGGTTACAATTGACTGATTTGTTAAAATTTCACTTAATGAAGTTTTTAAAATAATAAAGTCACAAATTAAAAATTTTATGTAATTTTTAAATTTTAAAATTACAAAATATTTCTATTTCAATTTGTTTGTTTAAATATAAACATAATGGTAGCTGTCATAAAAACTTGGATTTACTCAAACATAAATTAAACATTGAAGAACAGTAAAATTTATAATGAATTTGTTATATGGTGCACATATTTAGCAAAATGCCCCTCTCTACAGTTTATTTTTCTATCTGACTAATGAGTTTATGGTCACCGAATATGTTTTTCTGAGGTAAATGTGACGTGACATTGTTTACAAGCCGTTATATTGATGTCTTTGCGCGGCTGAAACACAGATTGAGCGATTACATGAGACAGGATACGGCTTGTAAAGTTGTACTCTTTCTTTGAACTTACCTTCGGATGTTTAGTCATGTTTATTTTGTGCTATAACTAGTATTAAAGCGGAGGAGATGATTAGTTCACATGTGCTATGCGCTGCTATTGATCTGAGGCACTACAGCGATCTGTCACTCCACATTAAACGGCGCCAAAACGGCATTTATTGTTTGAATACTACAATGCAATGGAGAGAATTTGAAATCTGAGACTTTGTTTCATATTAAAAGTACCAAAGCACAATGCTTATTGCTATATATTGGATGGGACGTTCCGTTAAAGGCAACATTCCGTCCATTAACTGAACACAGGCTAGACTAATCGATTCTCGGGATTTAAGACTCAATATCGTTCCGTAAAAATGAGAATCGATTAATATCGAGATATCGATATTTTTTACACAGCCCTACAAAAACAGTTACTGAGGGGGGGAATTAAAACAAGAAATATCTGGACTTGTAGTCATTTTAATGCTTGTTTTGTCTTATTTTGAGGCCCTCTGGTGCAGAAGTGCTGTTTTAGAGAGAGTCTGGCTCACCTCTTTGTGACAGTCTTTATGGGCCTCCAGGGTTTTCATGATGGTGAGTTCTGCGTAGTTCTTGAAGCGTGCCGGTTGGCTGCGCATGATCTCCTTCAGGACGCGCAGCGCCAGTGCTCGGATAGTGTGCTGCGGACACAACCATCATCACGTTCTTTAGCTGCATCTGTGCTGTTAGATTTCTGACTATTAGCATATTTTCTATGTGATGAAGTCGAGTGCGTCTCTCACGTCTCTGTCTCCCAGCGTCTCCAGCAGCAGCAGCAGCATGGTTTTGAAATGCTCCTCCCACACAGCCAGACTGTCGTCACGCGTGACCTTCAGCAGCTCCAGCAGAGCAGCCCGCCTCTCCTCCACACGCTCGCTGTGATTGGACAGCTCCTTCAGCAGCTCACCAATCATCTCCAGGTGCTGCCTGGGTCCTGACCAATCAGAGACAGCAACATCATGAATACTTCAAATAAATTAAACCTACATAGTAATATTTAAAACACAAAAACTAATAAAATAACATGACAAAAATACTAAACTTTAAACTAAAATGAAAACAGAAAATACTAAATAAATAAATGGATTAATTAAACCTAAATACCAATATTTAAAACAGAAAAACTAATAAACAAAAATTAAAAGCAAACAATAGTAAAAACAATATAAAACTTAAATAGTAATATTAAAAAATAAAAAATAAACTAATAAATATAACATGAAAAAAATGCTAAACTTTAAACTAAAATGAAAACAGAAAATAATAAATAAATAAATATAACCTAAATAGTAATATTTAAAACAAAAATAATCATAAAAACAGCACAACAAAATTAATAAAAATACTAAACTAAAATTAAAATTCAAACAAAAAATAATAAATAAATATAACCTAAATAGTAATATTTAAAACACAAAATTACTACAAATTAAACAAAAATTAAAAAAGAAAATGTACTTCAAAATATTAACAAACTCTATAAGAGTATATCAGTGATGCTAAAATAACACTTATCTATGGAGATGTTTATTTACAGAAGTTGACTTTTGCCCTCTTCAAACAGTTTAAAACCTCCTCATACCTGCAGAAAAACCTTTCGAATGCAGGATTTTGTTTTCTCCGCAGTCCTGTGGATGATCTGAAAGAGAAACCCAAAGATGCTGGCCTGTTTCTGTGAACTTGATAAAGTGATTCTTCCGTTGATGTGTTTATTCATTTACCGTCTCGGATGTGCTCCACGTCGTCAAACACGGCGAGAGCTCCTTTCTCGTAGGCGCTGATGGAGTCGCTGTAGTTGTATGGGTTGTATTCGCGAGCCCACGATCGAGGGGACGGTGTGTTTAATAATGAAGTCTTGTTGTCCAGCGCTGTCCGGCCTCCCTCCATTACACCAGCGGACAGACGAGGATCCACACCGGTCTGAAAGAGAAACCTGCTAATTTAGCTTCAACCTGGTGAAAATAACATCTATTTTCTATATCAGAAAAAGTACTACACTCCTTTGCAACATCATTCATATCCATTCTGGTTATATAAGATTAATCAGTTTGAGGGCAGAAAGTCACCAAGGCTGCATTTATTTGATCAAAAATACAGTAAAAATGTGAAATATTATTTCAATTTAGAATAGCTGTTTTCTGTGTGAATATATAGTAAAATGTAATGTATTTCTGTGATCAAAGCTGTATTTTCAGCATCATTACTCCAGTCTTCAGTGTCACATGATCTTCAGAAATCATTCTAATATGCTGATTTGCTGTTCAAGAAACATTTCTGATTATTATCAATGTTGAAAACAGTTGTGCTGCACAATATTTTTGTGGAAACCGTGATGCATTTCATCTTTTCGGGATTCACAGATGAATAGAAAGTTCAAAAGAACTGCATTTATTTGAAACCGAAATCTTTTATAACATTATAAAGGTCTTTACTGTCACTTGTGATCAATGTGATGCACCCTTGCTGAATAAAAGTGTTAATTTTTGAAAAAATAATATTAATCTTAATTAATAATCTAATAGAAATATACATTCATCTTACTTGAGCGCATTAGCATCAGTGGTTCGCTGATTTTGATAGCTTATTGTATTTACTACGTTTTTTGTATCATTCAAATTTGGCTGGGTGGTTAATAACACATTTTTCTGTGGTGTGACAAACTCAGAACACATTTAATATTGCTTTACACAGACTTTAATGTTTAGTATTTTGAGGCCTCAATCTTCTATTTAATATAGAAGAAGGTCTGCATATTTTTCATGCAGACCTTCTTGATCTTTGGTCAGTTTAGGTCAAGTACTCTAACACTGGATCAGCATCTTGAAAACAGTCTTGCAGGTGGAGGTACTCACCGTATCTTCCCTCTTGCCGTCACGTTTGATGGGCTCGAGCATGTCTTCCTGACTGCGGAAACTGAAGCTCTGGATGGCTTCGGTTACACCTCTCAATGAGCTGAAGATCTCCTCTGAGTTCATGTTCTCAGTGTCGCACTCCAGCATACTACACACACACACACACACACACACACGGAGTGAGGCCTGACTCCATATGCATTGACTTTAACACACAACACAAGGCAGACAGACAACACACAGATGTGATGAATGCATTTACTGCTCAGCTGCAAAGTCAAAGTGACACATCTTAAACATTTCATACAGACAGATTAATGCACAACAAACATCTGCATTTGCCAGGAAGCAAAAAGTGGCGGGAACAAAAGAAATCAGATGGATGAGAAAAAGAAGGACGTCACAAAAGTAATAGAAATGTGGGACACAGACTCTCAAGCTGGGACAAATATAAAGAGAGCGCAGTTTGACCAAAATATAAGGTTTGCACATTTGCTCAAATTTTTAGGATTTTTAAAACTCTCCAGGCAATACACTACAGGTGAACAATGTAAAAAAAATACTTTACCCAGATGATTATTCACAGTACATTAAGACAGTTGTGCGTTACAAATTTTCTAAAATGTTTAAATATGCAAATAAGGCACTAATTAAATTTGTACTAATTTGTATACATTTCCAGAACATTGGATAAAGCCAGGTTCATATTTTATTTTATTTTGTTGACATATTAAAGATTTTTACAGAGGAGATTTTGGATTTCTCTTTTTATCACTCCATAAATCAGAAAATACTGTCAATAAACAAAAAAAAATACATTTTCGCCAAATTTTTGTAATGAATAAAATGTTGTATAAAACCAGGTGAATGACATATTAACAAACCCCTCAGTAAAAACCTTCAGAATATAGAGAAGAATAAAACTCTTAAGTTTGGTGTATGTAAGTGTTGCTGAGATGGAGAAAAAATGTGCAGCCTTTAAACATATCCATTTTCACCATGTTTTTAGGAAGAAAATAAGTCTAGAAATAAGTCTGAATGATATATGAACAAACCTCTCAGTAAAAACATTCAGAATATAGATAGGAATAAAACTGTAAATATTGGAGTATGTAAGTGCAGCTGAAGTGATGGATAAAACTTTTTAAAGATATGTATTGTAATTGAAATCTACAGATGCAAGTAAATAAAAATGCAATGATAAAACTATGTGAATGATATATGAGCAATCCCCTCAGTAAAAACCTTCAGAATATATATAGGAATAAAACTGTAAATTTTGGAGTATGTAAGTGCAGCTGAAGTAATGGATAAAACTTTTTAAAAGATATGTATTGTAATTGAAATCTACAGATTCAAATATATAAAAATGTAATAATAAACTCAGGTGAATGATACATGAACAAACCCCTCGGTAAAAACCTTCAGAATGTTAACAGGAATAAAACTGTAAATTCTGGTGTATGTAAGTGCTGCTGAAGTGCAGGAGAAAACTTTTTAAGATATGTATTGCAACTGAAATCTACAGACGCAAATACAAGTTTAATAAAATTAGCACTTAAATGTGCATTTTGGATTTTTTCTTTCCTCTAGTTTGAAATAAGACATGTTATAGAAGCAAAATAGCTAAATTCACCAGTGCATGAAAGAAAATGTTTTGCCTGTAGTGTTTTGCCTTAAAAGGAACATTCCGGGTCCATTTAAACCCAAAACAATTCTTTAAATGTCACGCACTGACTTTGATTTATTAGACTACCAATGAAAAAAAAACAATTGTGGAGAATATTCCTGCTCTTATGCGTTAGCATTAGGGATGCGCGATATTGGATTTTTGCCGATATCCGATGCCGATACCGATATACTTCCTTTTGTTTGGAAACAACACCAAGTCTCTCCTGTGTGGAAATTATAAGCAAATTATTTTTATACAACAAGAACTTATTTGTTAGAATTAAATAAACAATAATGAAGTTATTTTATAATGACAGTACATTGAAGCTTTGAAAATAACTATAAATAAACTATATATCAATCGCTGCATTTTTTTTCCAAAAAGATGCAGTAGTAACCGTAACATTTTATTTTTAGATTTAACATTTGTAGATGATCTAAAGCAAAAGAGTTGTAAAAATCCTGAAAATATTTCAGAGCTCATAATTTGTTAAAAAAATATGACATATTACACATTTATGAATAAATCAGTATAGGCTATATAAAATTATTTAGTTTACAAGTGTCATGTTTTCTTTTTCATGTAAGCTATAGATTGTGACCTTTAAATCAAAACATACTCATGATTTTATGACATCAATTACTGCTTTATTTAATCAGAAACACTCTAAACGTTATTTGTGTATTTTACTTTCATTTTATTAAAAGCAGGCCAACAGCGCCCCCTACGGAATTAAAACTCCTTACCTTATTATTTACAAATTACAATTGTAGCTAGACAGTCGCCTATGGCTATGATTTTATTAATACAGTTGTCTGATTGATTTTATAGTCTCAAGCGTTCAGAAATCACACAAAAGAAAATTAAGCAGTTTCTCTTCGATAAAACCAAGAATTAGCCTAGTTTTTGTAAAGGTTGTGATGTCCACATGTTTTTGTTGAAGAAATTATAGAGGCTAGCATTTCTATCGCAAAAAGGTGGCCAAACATTAAAGATTAAGTGGATATTTGAATTAAATATTTGGTCAATATTAAAAGGATTTGATTTTCCTGTAAGTGTTACAACAGAAATTACCAGCCAACAATATATAGGCTAATGTACATAAATTGTTTATTTTGTATTACATTATGTATTTTAACAGTGTTATTCAATGAAACCATACGATTATTATTAAGTGCATTTTGGATTTTTTCTTTCCTCTAGTTTGAAATAAGACATGTTATAGAAGCAAAATAGCTAAATTCACCAGTGCATGAAAGAAAATGTTTTGCCTGTAGTGTTTTGCCTTAAAAGGAACATTCCGGGTCCATTTAAACCCAAAACAATTCTTTAAATGTCACGCACTGACTTTGATTTATTAGACTACCAATGAAAAAAAAACAATTGTGGAGAATATTCCTGCTCTTATGCGTTAGCATTAGGGATGCGCGATATTGGATTTTTGCCGATATCCGATGCCGATACTGATATACTTCCTTTTGTTTGGAAACAACACCAAGTCTCTCCTGTGTGGAAATTATAAGCAAATTATTTTTATACAACAAGAACTTATTTGTTAGAATTAAATAAACAATAATGAAGTTATTTTATAATGACAGTACATTGAAGCTTTGAAAATAACTATAAATAAACTATATATCAATCGCTGCATTTTTTTTCCAAAAAGATGCAGTAGTAACCGTAACATTTTATTTTTAGATTTAACATTTGTAGATGATCTAAAGCAAAAGAGTTGTAAAAATCCTGAAAATATTTCAGAGCTCATAATTTGTTAAAAAAATATGACATATTACACATTTATGAATAAATCAGTATAGGCTATATAAAATTATTTAGTTTACAAGTGTCATGTTTTCTTTTTCATGTAAGCTATAGATTGTGACCTTTAAATCAAAACATACTCATGATTTTATGACATCAATTACTGCTTTATTTAATCAGAAACACTCTAAACGTTATTTGTGTATTTTACTTTCATTTTATTAAAAGCAGGCCAACAGCGCCCCCTACGGAATTAAAACTCCTTACCTTATTATTTACAAATTACAATTGTAGCTAGACAGTCGCCTATGGCTATGATTTTATTAATACAGTTGTCTGATTGATTTTATAGTCTCAAGCGTTCAGAAATCACACAAAAGAAAATTAAGCAGTTTCTCTTCGATAAAACCAAGAATTAGCCTAGTTTTTGTAAAGGTTGTGATGTCCACATGTTTTTGTTGAAGAAATTATAGAGGCTAGCATTTCTATCGCAAAAAGGTGGCCAAACATTAAAGATTAAGTGGATATTTGAATTAAATATTTGGTCAATATTAAAAGGATTTGATTTTCCTGTAAGTGTTACAACAGAAATTACCAGCCAACAATATATAGGCTAATGTACATAAATTGTTTATTTTGTATTACATTATGTATTTTAACAGTGTTATTCAATGAAACCATACGATTATTATTAATTAACCAATCATTATTGCCTCATTGTTTTTATATAATACATTTTATGTCATTTTAAAGGTTGTTGTTTGCTTAGGCCTGTTTTTATTACCACAAAAATATTATCTGAATACTTCGTAAATTATTATTTGAAGCGATTTGAAGTATCAAAACCATGGTTAATTTGTGGTTACCATTGCTACAAGATTTGTAACAAATGTAAAAAGAGGTGCTCTACCAACAGAAGAGGAGGTGCAACCAAAAATCAAAAAACATGTTTTTTTTTTTGTTTTTTTTATTCGTAGTAAAATGATGGTTAATTTTCGTAAGGGAACATGAAAACTCTGAGAGAATATTAAGGCAGATGCGGCGGTGATATTATTGTCGACATTAAAACACGTCATTAACGTCAACATCCAAAAAAGTTTCACAGGATTATGAACGTACCTAAAAGTGATGCACGGGCTTCATCTTGGACTTTTTTTTTTATTTTTCTCATCTCGGTGCCGGACTACTGATGTCTTTTCCCGGGCATAGTTGTCCATCAGTTATGATCATTTGCAGTTAGCCACAAACATGAGGCGGGCGTGGGAATGGCGCGTCACGTGTGCTTTGCCTGTCTACTGCGTTCACCGTTAAACGCATTTTTTATAATTATGTATATATGTTCATGTTTATATTTTTATTTACGTATATGTACATGTTCATATTAACATAGAACAAACGGTTAGTTTTTTTTTGCGTTCTGGGATGGTGCCCCCCTGGGAGTTGGTGCCCTACGCAAACTGCGTACTCTGCGTATAGGGAACGGCGGTACTGCTGACATGATATAACCGCTAACACACCCTGAGCACATGTGAGTTAACGTATATTTCCTCTTATCGGCAAGACATATCGGCAAAATTTTTCATATCGGGCCGATGCTGATATGTACATTAAAAGCCATTATCGGCCGATTCCAATATCGGTCCGATAATATCGTGCATCCCTTTAGCATCCTAACGCCCGGGCCGAAGTGTGTTACCTGGGCGAATACGCCCTCCGAGAGGCCCGGAGAGGTGGGGTGGCAGGGCTGGGGTGGGGAGGAGGGAGGTTAGAAGAAGGCTTTGAGCTCCAGCCCCACAAACGACTGAGCCGAGAGGAAGAGGAGGAAGAAGAGAGAGCAGGGAGGTGTAGAAACCAAGAGGAGGAAAATAAGAGGAAACAGTGAAGGACGCTCGTTCCCTTTCAGTCAGTCACGTTCTACGTTACGTCAGTCGTGACTGACGAATTGGGATCTCGCCCGAGAGCCCAATCACCTTCGAGTGTTAACTAAACAAGCCAATGACAGTTGGCGTGCGTGTTTTGCCACGCGCACCCCGCCCCGCAGCGCGGGTATAAAAGGAGAGCATGTGCAAACGCACATCAGCTTTTCGCTTCGGAGCCGAGCCTTCTAAGGACGAATCTCCGCGAGTGTTTGGAAGAACAGGAAGAAGCGGGGGTTGCCATTCAGTGCTGCTCATCTTCGGCGTGCTGCAGCTGCCATTCTGCAGTCTCGCCGCGACCTCCCCTGGGCGCTTCAGCGCTCTCTCTAAAAGAGTGTTTCCTTTTTTTTCCTAAAAGAGCAAATGTCTAAAAGAGCTCCACGAGCGACGGGCGTCTTTTTAAAGATGGCTTCCCGCTCGTGCGTTTCTGGATGCGGTCGTTTCCTGCCTCCATCTGATGGTCATGATCGCTGCCTCTCGTGCCTGGGCTTACAGCACGCTGAAGCAGCGCTCATGGATGAGTCATGTTCTCAGTGCGGGAACATGGCCATCGCGACATTGCGGTCTAGATACCTCCTCATTAAAGGGGGGGTATACCCCTTGCCATGCCCCGCTCTAGCTCTTCCGGTTCTCGGAGGGCTACTTCGGTTCATGGTCAGGGAGACCTGAGGGTTACAGTGAGAGCTTCCCCGT